CCATCACTCTGTCATTCAGTCTCTCTCAACCTGAGAAAAAGTGCTCTGTATATTACTGATTTATCTCCCCGAGCGTCTTCGTTGTCCTGTCTCTGCCGTGGAGTCTACGATAAAGTCCTGATCTCTTAATGGGGCTTTGCTATTCACCTTAACCTACTTGTCCCAGGCTCAGCTCTGTGTTTCCTTCCTAAAGAGGTTTAACCATAAAAGCAGGGTCGCTGCCCCCTCTCTGCATTATCACTCCAAGGAACTTCCTTACTGTAGGAGTACGTGTGAGTGGAAGTCTTCTTTTCTGCTCATCACTCCATCCAGGGTTCACTGTGCTTGCCGAAGGTGGTGGGTGGGTGTGCTAAGATGGCAAGAGAACTGAAATGGAACTCCCAGATCTTACCGCCTACGTGCCGTTCCTTCATAAAGACACCATTTCTTTTTAGTCTGGCTACCTGCCTTCTCCATGTCAGCATGGTTGTCAAGCTTTGTGTGATCTGCTGTGACTCATTCATCATTCTGGAGAGCACTGATGTTGCTCCACTTTCTTTGCAGATATGGCAGGGAGTGAACACTTTGCCGTTGCTTTAGATAAATGCATCTGCGCCCCTCTAAGGCTAATGACTTCTCTTACTTTCCTGGAACACATCGTCTGAAAAACGAAAAAGTATTTTGTGGAACTCCTCTAGTGGTATAATAGACATGCTATTTGAATGCAAATTCATCATCTTTGAAGAAGAACTGAATGCTGCTACACGCTTTATGCTGCAAATGACCCAAGGATCACACTATTTTCCATAGCATCCATATCACTGAGATCACCATTTCAGCAAAGGTGATGAGTTATTGTGTAAATCAAGTGGTATAACAGCAGGACAGAGATCAGTGGATGAACACAAGAATAGATAACCGCAAGAGGAGAATATTGATAATAGTCACACTCTCTAGTCCTGCCGTGCTGGTAAAATTTCATAGAAGCTGTCAGATTTTTTTTTTTATGCTACCAAATGGATAAACTTGACCACAAGTAGTGCAATGGAATGTTTTGAGGTTTTTTTTTCCATGAGTGGGTCCCCTTTTCATTTTTACTGTGCACACAAGTGTGTGAAAGCAGGTTTTTGCTTCGAGCTTTACATACTCCACTGTCCTAACTGCTGGTTGCAGCACTGTGGAAAGAATCGTAGCAATATGTGAGCAGTAGAGGTAAAAAAAAATAAATAAATACAAAAATAAAACTGGCTTTGCAGATGTTCAGTGGAAAAAGAAGCACCTCAAGGACAAACACTAATTATAAAGCATAATGTTATTTTAACCTTTAACTTCTAATAACAAGGCTGTCAGAATGTTTTGGCACCATGAATATTTTTTCTTTCAGTAAATAAAAGGTGATGAAAGTCTTTATTTAAAAATTACAGGAAAAAATAGTGCCATGCATGTGGTATAACAGGTAATTTCTATATTTGTGTCTTAATATCAGTATCTTTGTATCCCCATTTCTTTTTAAAAATGCAATAAGTGAATAAGTGTCCGTCTTCACAGCAGATTTTTTCTGATGTATTGTACAGCAGAATCTGCTCTCTTCAAAGAGAATTTTTGTGGCAGAGTATATCATCATAGATCACAGAGCAGCTCAATCTGTTGGTCTAATGCTGGACAAAATACTCAGGTCAGCGGGACCTTAACAGGAGAGACTGTCTATATAAGAATTCTATGGTCTTCTGGTTTTAACAGGCTTTTTGAGCCCTGCGCTGAGTGGAAATTTAGCTGTCTCATTCCACACTTTCTTGTATTTGTGATTGAGCTTATAATTTGGTTTGTCTCCAAGCAGCACCAGGACAGATGACAATCTCTCATCTCCTATACTACGAGTGTGTGTTAGCTCATCTTGGCTCTAATCATAGTTGGCAGTCTTCATATCTACTGAACACTTTGCTATCTCCTAGTCAGCAGGCACTTTACAATGTTCATGGCTGCTTATTGAAATGTCATGGCTGGACAATAAGTGGAGATGTATGCAGGCAATGTTAATTAAAGTTTAATGACCTCACTTTATTGTCTGTCATTACAGCAAAGACATGATAGAATATATTATAAAAGGTCACCCCTGTTCCACCTTTCAGTACCTTTCTGCATGGCTAAAATGCATTGCTTTCTGCTGTAGCACATCTTGATGGCTTTGATATGATACCTGATATCTACTGCAGTGCACTAATGCATTTGCTTTCTGTTTTATTGACCAAAGCCATTTCCTGCTTGCCGAAATATATTTACACTCTGCATGAACATACCAAATGCCAAAGATCACTGAAGGTTTGCAAAAACAGCATAAGAAGCTTCCTCCAGCATAACTACAGCAGATAATGATAACGCAGATTTTTTTGTTTTGTTTTGGAGTTTGTTTGTTTTTTAGTGACTGATTTATCATGTTACAATTTCATTATTCCTTTTTAAGATGGTTCCTAAAAAAACATCTGATGTTTCCATATTTTTTATGCATTTGCTCTTGGCCAGCACAGTGAATTAAAATACAATACTGACACAAAGATGTGGGCCACGATGAACTGAGAGGAACTGCAAAGAATTCCCTGTGGGTTCATCTGTATGAGTCACACCTCTCATAAATAGTCACGTAGCTGATCATTCATATAGTGCATATTTTTGCAACAGAGAGTGTGACATTTCTTGCTTTGCAAGCCCTCTTTCTCAGCTGATTTTGTATTTTCTGCTAGTGTTTGGCCCTTGAAATGCTTATATTCAGTTCTGCAGTGTGTAGCTGTGCAATCATATATTAGGTTTGACAACTGGCAGAATTTTCCATGCCACATGACACGTTTCTATATCGATTTCTCCCTTTCCCAGCAGTAGCAGCAGCATTAGTAGGTTTCGCTTCCTGCCACTGTGAACATTGACTTTATATTGGCAATATTTCACAGCGAGCACGACACTAACATCCCAACATCACATTAAAGTCTTTGCACAGTTTTATTTTTGTGGAAGGTTGATTTGCCACGCGATTGCAGTTTCATCTCGTTTCTCTTGTTCACTCTTGAAACATTTGTTTGAAGGTCTTGCATTTCAGTTTCTTACATTTTCAAATATCACTGAAGATGGAGTACTCGGCTAACCCTGGCTGGCCTCTTCACATTGACCTCCCCCCTGTCAAGCACACAAAAGCCTCAGTCTTCATTTTTATGCTTGACTGAACATGATTTTTTTTTTTTTTTTTGGGCATTTTATTTCTCTGCTTACAAAGTGTTTGGATTAAAGCAATTAAAAGTTGTTTAATTTTCACAGTTACAGAGTTGTATGCTTCCATTCTCTACACTAAAAAAACACATGGAGGCAGTACAAGAGAACATAGCTTATAGTGAACCTGCAATGAGGCACTATATTTGTACTGCAGAATATGCAGGTTTATGAAATAAATACACGTTTACTGTGCAATAACAAGAGTAGAGTATTACATGTTTCGTGGAAGGCATCCTAATAGGTATTAAACTAATTATGTTTTTGAGTTTTTCAAAAGTTTGCTTGAGTATTATGGATTAAAAAAAGTTAAGTTCTGCCAGGATTTCAGCAGATCAGTTGTTGGATCAGCCGAAATCCTTCTAAGCATCCACTTGAGAAATCTCATTCAGAGTGAGCTCATGAATCTGCTTTAACTACAAAAACTGCAAGCTTCTTTGCAACTCACCTTCACCCCAGCTTCTCTTTTCAGGATATATTTGACTGAATCAAGACCATTTGTCTTGCTCTGTAGTTGAAGAGGTGTGCTATTTCCTCTTTATGCTTTACATAGATATGTTTGAAACAGCATTTGGATTCCTCCATCAGCTGACTAAAAGGGGAAACAACTGACTATGCTATGGGTAATAAATAGATCTCTCTATGCCACTTAATGGACAGGCAATGGAAAAGTGGAAGCTGATGCTGGAAATCTTTAAGTCATACCAATAGACCGTATAAAAGATGGATGTAGCTACTGTGACATCATTCACCAGTTTTTTGAGTTTAATAGCCTTGAGATGAGATTTTTTTCCGTCACCATCTTGAAATGTGATTTGATGACGAGACATGTCTAACTGTGAAACCTCACACTCATTGGCTAATGGCTTTCAAACACAAGGTGAAAGCCAGTGAGCATATCTCTGATAGTCCTTGTTTTTGATGCTTAGATACTAAAACCCACACTTAATGAAACCGTGGTCCTTCTCCCCATTTCTCCTCATTACCCTCCATTGATGTTTCCAAGAGTCATCTAATAGGTAAACTGTGTTTTTACTGCAGCTCTGGAAGTGTTCAGTCTAAGAAACTACAACCGACTGTAGACGGGTAACAGTATTTATTTGAAAGACAGGACAACAATTTAAATTGCTCTTGAATTGGGAGATTTCCTCATATGTTCCCCAATGCAGCTGGTATATTCAGCATTAATTTAGAAATGCTAATATCCTTGCTGTCGTTGCCATGGCAGTTGATGTGCTTCATGATGTAGAAAATTTGCTTTTGCTGTACAATAACTGTGTCTCCCCTGGGCATCCCTCCTCAAGTATGGTGCCATTGTTCTCCTTTTCTTAGCAGCAGCTACAGTGGTTGGTGTTCATAGAAGAGATGAAATGCTGTCTTTCACATCATCTGGGACCTAGTGATTTCTTGCTATTTTTGTCCTTAACCTAGTCTGTCAAGTTATCTGTATTGATCTCTCAGAGATGCATTATCAGTCAAAAAAAGATTAGTGCTTAGTCTCAAGGCTACAAGAAGAAAATAACATATCAGGCTTGTCCTTGTAACTCTGAGTGATTTGCCAAATATAAGCCTTCCGGTTATGCTGAAACTCGATACTTCATTGCTTTTAGAGTGTTAGGTAAGTGTTGGCAAGCTCTATAGCTTTAGAAAACTTCATAAATCAATGTAATTTCCTGTAGTTTAGCTAAAGCTGTCAGTTGTCAATCTTATCATTTATCTGTTTTACTTGACTCAAACTGGGCTTTTTTTCTTGTTTTTATTTCCAGCTCCTAGAAGGCAGTTTCACATCCCAGGTCAGCCATGAAGTCGATGGGCTTATCTTCCAGCCATGTGGGGTAAGCCTTCAACAGAGTGTGACAGTTTGTCATTTTTCAAACCCTTAGTCCCGTTGCTGCAGGTTGATTGTCAGACTCTGCTTTGTCTTCCTACATGCACATACAAAAGAATCGAACAGCTTGTCACTACCACCCACCGTTTGTCACTCTCTGTGCCAGTCTTGCCCTCGGTTATTGTAAAGGAAACGGCAATACATGAATTCACAGGCCTTCCTGTAAGACAGTACGCAGTAAACTTGACACATAGTGTTTTCTGTTACAGCCTAAACGAACTTGGTTGAAATACGTATTTGTTTGGTGTTACGACAGCAGAAAATCCTATGGTGGTAACACTAAAACACCTCTTATCATCATCTGCGATCGACTCAAGGACTTCTAATCCACTGCAGTATATTCTACTTTTGCGGAATAATTTACAAACATTAATGCAGAAAGACCCTGGACTGAAGTTTTTATATTTTACAAAAACTTCTGTCCAATTTTTCACCATTACAGAACCACCATGGTTTTATATCGTCTACGCCAAATTCTGACCTTACCTTCCTAAAGTAGCAGGAGAAATCGAGACCGATCCGACCATGTAACATTTTTCCAGTCTTCTGTTGTCCAATTTAAGTGAATTGTAGCCTCTGTTCTTGTGTAATGGGAGTGGCACCCAGTGTGTCCTTCTGCTGGTGTAACACATCAGCTTCAAAGTTTGATGTTTTGTGCATTCAGAGATGACCTTCTGCACACAAGGACCGTGCCATATTAAATTGTCCATGAAAATACCAGTATAAATGTTTACATGATATAAATGTCATCCTCCAACCAGGCTGTGAAGAAGGAGACACGAAAAGCTGCTGATGTGTGACCCAAATGTAAAACAAGTGACTCCACTTGTTTAACTAAAGGGTTAAGCAGTTATTTTATACTTAAAAGTTCCAGACAAAACACTTCCTAGGCTACTTTTGTGCTTGCATTTGACTTTGTGCAACAGTAGTGACAAAGCATATTGCACTAATGGTAGCTTGTGGAAATAGATTTATGCTTTGAAATAGGTAGTGTGTCATCAATGACAGCAGCTCACTGAAAAACAAGGGTGAAAAGCCCTTCATTTTGTTGGCACTAATAAATAAATGCTCCTGCCTGTAAGCTACAGTCATGATAATGTTGCTCCGTTCTTTTTTTTTTTTTTAAAACGATATATTATAATAACAATATAATTTATATTTTATATATATATATATATATATATATAGTTATATATGATGATATATATATATATGATAGATAGATAGATAGATGATAGATAGATGATAGATAGATATTATATATATAGATTTATGAGGCATAAGTATCATAATCACACTATATCACATTCCCCTGCTGCATTCATTGGATGTAACGAGTGTTTATTTGAGTTACTGTTCCTTCCTGTCAGCTCCAAGCAGCCTGGCCATTCTTTTCTGACCTCTGACAACATCAAAGCATTTTCATCCAGACAATTGCCTCACTGGATATTTTGTCTTTTTCATTCTCTGTAAACCCTTGAGATGGTTGTGTGGGAAAATTCGGGTAGATCAGCAGTTTCCGAAATACTCACACCAGACAGCCTGGCACCAGCGACTACGCAACCATTCAAAGTCCCTTAACTTGAGTTGGGGCCATGTTGATTGGCTGATTAGGTATTTGACTTCACAAACAGTTCAACATGCGTACCCGATGAAGTGGTTGGTGAGTGTATGTTGACTAGAGGTGCAAAAGTTGCAAGTTTGTATTGTGACACCCCACACTGGCCACGTGCTTATTTAGCTTATGCTGTTTAGTCATGTGGAGCTGTTAATGCCTGGTTTAAAATAGGCCCGTCTGGTAAAAGCTGGAATGTTTGTTAGAGAGTGAAGGGCAAATAGATCAGAGTAATAGAGTTTTAGATAGATTTTTGTTTATTTTGTTTATAATATACAGAATGACCCTGCTGCCAGGTCGCCTCTGATAGCATTGATTGCAAAGTGCAAAAAGAGAAAATGAAATCCATTTGCAATCTTATAATCCAAAGTGCATGACCAAGTTGAATGTTAGTATTGTCTAACTAAATGTAGCTATGAATATTTTATTGTTTTGAGTCATGTACCAAGTAATGTTTTTGCTGTTTCGTATTCTGGGCACAATTTCGAGCGGTGAGGGAGTTTTTCCTAATTACAACAAGAACAGCAGAATGTTCTTGGCCGGATTGAATCCAGCTTGTTTTCATGTAAAGAACTGGGCAGCCATCAGTTTCATTACAGGGATAATTGGTGTTAATGTTTTTTTGTTTAGACACCTGCTTATCTTTGGTTTTGACTCTGGAAATATTTACCATGTGTGAGTGAGTCAAAGGTAAATAGCAGGGAATGCAAATTTTACTTTCCAGTTTT